ATGAAACTGAATGCACATCTCATCCGTATGACAATCATCTTAGCTATAAATTATGAATTTGTTATTGCCAGAGTGAACGACACCTAAGAATGTATAAGGAGCTACGTAGCGCCCTCTTTCGAGTTCAGTGAAAATGGCAAGGAGTTGTATCCTGAATGGCTGTTTTTTTATCATAACTTCCAAAAAATCCACAGCAAACTCCCTCCTTTTGATTTGGCGGTGAACAAAGCATAAGAAACATTGGGTTGCAGGGCCCTTGTATTATTCGATTCCGGCTTTCTACCATATTGTAACCCGTGTCTTTGCAAAATAATTGAGCAGAACAAACAATATATACATGTAACTGAATACAGGAATTACTGTTGAATGAATCGTGTCGTTGCTGCAATTTTTTTTTGAATTCTTCATCTTGCTCTATTCTCTCATATTTAGTTCTTCGAATACTAAACAGCAAACCTTTTTTATTGGTTTGGGTGATAGCGAAGCACAGGACAAGGTCACCTTTCTCAACTGCCCTGCGAATACATGAACATGTAATACGTATTAATACGCAGAGAATAACCGATGAAGCATGCCGTGGTAGAGAGAAATTCTCCTTGAATAACTTGACGTGTCCTTGTAAACATCTGCACACTGTGATACTTATATGCTTCATTAAAGAAGTTAACGTCTAAGACGGATCTAAGATAAAAATCATAAATGGTCTGAACTTCTGTGTCCCAAAACAGGCAGAATTTTCCTCAGCAAGGATGTCTGGCTTCACCCATAAACATATATATTTACACATTCCAATTGCAAATCTTCAGAAGTTAAAATCTGAGTGTCTCCTGTGTATACAGGGCTTGCTAAAACTATCTTGTCTTCTCTATTTCAACTTTCCTATGCTCTTATTGCGTAACCTTACAACAGTTATGAATAAGGGCGATTCACAATAGTGCGCCTCCAAGAGTTTGCAACGCGTTGGCCAATCACATAGCGCAGAATCTGTCGACCCTTTCCAAATGCACAGTGGGTCGACAGATTTTGCGTATTGTGGTCGGCCAACGTGTTGCAAACTCTTGGAGGCGCACTCTTGTGAATCGCCCGATATTGTTCGAATTACTAAGACAATTTCTCTCGGTGTACTTTGAAATGCAGAAATGTATATTTACAAAAACATGATGATCCCAGTCGTAGCATTTGTAGCAGTAGGCTCATGCACGTGAGAGACAGTTTTCTTATCTAATGAGAGCTTCTTTGCTGTTTGAAATAAACCCGTTTGCTAAAAAAAAACCTGTTGTTGACATAGTTTAACATGGACTCCGTGAAATGTATTTTTCCTGGATTTGTTCCTTTTTTTCCTCACGCGAAAACTGACTTGCATTTTGGACTCAAGGTTGAAGCTTCCCCAAACCTGAATGGCGTGGGTTTGGTAGCCGGGTTTTCATGAAAACTAACCGGGACAGTATCACCAAGTTCCGGTGCACTCAACACCTGTGTAACTTCTATTTCTCTCTCTCTCCCACCAGTTAGCAGGCATGCAGCAGTGACAAACGTGACAGGACCGTCTGAGCAGGAATATGTTCCTGGTAACAATGTGGAACCCTAGCTTGATCATCGTGATGCAGGGGAATTGGCAGCACCAGGGGAAAGGGAAACGCCGCGGACAAAAAAAAAGGTTCCTGGAAACCAGTCTAACAACGGCTGTAAATAGAAACAATGACTTCGATCATCGACAGAGTGTAAAATGAGAAATTTCCAGGCTCATGAGAAGGATAGGGCGTGAACTTACACCACTTTGGGCGTAGCTGATATACAGGTTTCCTTATGAGGAATCACCAGGATGAAGTCCATGTTGATGCGTTGTGAGAACTTCTCATGCAACAGAATGGCAAAAGTGGACACCAATGCGTCAGTAGATAGGCCTCCGGAGATGTACATGTACATGTACACTGTACGCTCATTACACATTCAGTGTAAGCACTGTGCCGTGCGCTCTGATTCCGGACCTCCCCTGACATTTTTGGAACCTTATAAAGAGACACTGTAATAAATCAATGGAACAGGACCAAACCATTGCGTGCTCGAGTCTCTACAAGAATAACGATCATCTCGGAGGCTTGACTGTGCAAGGATTCTCTCGCGTCTTTGTATACCCCTAAGAGATGTCGAAGGTGACACACGCATTCTCTTACATCATTTCGTGTTCGTTGTCTTTGGCGCCATTCGAACATTGGAAATAAGTCTACTTTAGCGTAATAACCTCATTGACGTTTCCAAAGGGAAAACAATAATGCCCAAGCTTGCCAGTCGAGCCTCCCTATCAACACAGTCATGCAACAGGCCCACCGCTTAAGGTTTGTCGCTGGGCAGGGACAGCCTCCCCCATTTCCCACTTGAATCTTTATTTCACTTCCTCTCCAAAGCCCTGGGAATCTGCATACCGTACAAATCCTCTCCTGGCCATCATCACTTTTGTAGGAGGAAAATTGACCCATTGATTAATTTGTCCTCTGACATCATCACACTCCCACAAGTCAGAAGATTCTTGTATTTGACGGTAGTTCCCACCAAAGAGAAAAAAAAACAAACAAACAAAAGCCACCATAACTGACGTCTTCCAGTTGGAGTGTTGGTAACAGTCGACAGTTTTCACAGCATTTTGAAAAAACCTGTCTTGTGTGTGTAAAGCGACTGCAGAACCACCGCGGGGTATTCTCATATCGAGGAAGTACAAAATTAAAGAGCGTCCGTCGTGAAAGTAATGAAGGGATTGATTACTTGTTGGCCAAATTCACCATCGTTGGTACTCAAATATTCCTGGCTGGCTGGCGACAGCACACAGGTTGTCAAAATATTTGAGCACTCAGAAGTCTCCCTGGACGCATACTCAAAACTTAAGATAAAGTAGGAAGTTTCAATGCAAGCCTGGCTGAAAACAGAACTTTCGATTGAAACAGCAGGCTTGTCGGGTGAACCATTCAACTCTTGAAGTAGAAAGCGGCAGGTCAAAGAGTAGCCGTTGGCAATATTCAAAACTGTGCACTGGCAGTGCCTATACCTTGACGGCAGGTGAACTTCAGCCCGAGGAGCGATGCACAACAATAAAACGTGGGCAAACATGGGACACTTGACGCTTTGGTCCCAATCAACTGACATGCTTACCTTGGCGGGCTTGCTCAAATTAACGCAAGTACTATTACTTGATTTTGTCATTCCCCCTTCAGGTCCCCAGCTAGAACTTGGAAGGGAAACTGGTCCCTTGTAATACCATGTCACACGATCACACACATGACAGTTGTTCCAGCATGTTGTAAGCAAAGGATTCTTAGCAGGTTACCAGTTTTGGAAAGTTTGTTTTCTGAATCAAAGAATCATATCGGAAAAAGAATTACGAAGCACGCTCCAGGAGATATGTTGTGAGCGATGTTACCAGTTTTGGGAAATTTTAAGTTTGGGGGGATGATCTGTTAAAATAAAACTGTTACAAAGGACTGTCTAACGGGGTCTGGTACCCTATTATCAGCTACACTATTTTGTCACTTTTTTGCGAATGCGCAGTCCTCTGCTCTCGAACACAAGCAATCTGATTTGCTCATGAAATGATTCAACTTCCCAACTACCAAATACACCTCATAGTGATTCGAGGGACTTAACAAAGAAACCAAACTACTCTTCACCCCCCCCCGACAAGGCCCGAAAAGGATGATCAAAATACATGTGAAGGGAAAGGAATGCGTTTATAATGAGATTTTTCCCCACGGACACAGATAGAGCTATCTTAATGGAAACCATGGTCTGTTATGAGGGCGCCATTTTTTTCTCGCCAGAAAAACTACCCGCATCTTCCCGGGCAAACTTCCCCTGCCAATCAATTAGGAGGTCGGTGACGACCATAAAGCTCGGTCAACTGTCCCTAAACCCCACTCAAAACAGTGAAATGTTCCGTCGAATAACAAATGGAAATGTCATCTTCACGTTTTTTGGTAATATTGCGATTCTGGTGACACAGAGAAATACAGAACATTCGAGCCAAACCCTTTTCAAATAAAACCAGCCACATTTTGTGGTCATTCGGTTAGTCCTACCATGTCTTATTCCTCCATGGTCATACCTGCACATACTCTGGCTTGTGTGGAATTCAGGAATTTTAAAAAGAGGACCACAACAGATGCAACAAGCACGGTTCACAATTCAGAACATTTAGATATCACAAAATTGACAAGCATCGGCCATTGCGAAGGCGCGGGGCCAGCAAAACAATCACAAACGTCATGATACATGGGTATGATAAGTGCTGGTTGGTTTCGAACATGTCTAAGTTAGCTACGTATCACCTTAAACATTCTTTTAACTTCAAGGCGATTACGTTATAGCTCCATGTCCTGTCTAACTGCCACCAGATTATGGTTAGGGTCTTAGCCTATATAAATTGTGGTCTCTGGTCTCTCCTACTTCACATTGACTCCATCTCTTGCGCACGATTAAAGTCTTGGTTCTAATTTTTTTCCACCAACATACGCCATACAATCAGCGAGGCCGTATTTCATGGAGACTGCGTGTCACTATAGCGGGATGAGGATAGGCGAGCAGGCTGTTCCTTTAAGCGGTGCATACGGAATACCCGGCGATGGTGTGACATTAAAGGGGCTGACCCAAGGTCGAACCCGGTGAATCACTCAGCGCGGTATGTGGCTCCAAGGATACCCGGCGATGCGTGTGCCGGTTGTAGGGACAGATTGGATCGGGCAGGAAAGTAATCGGCGACTTGAGAGACGAACTGTCCCCCACCACCTTCCACCGGTTGTTGGAGAGGCTTGGGTGATGGACAGGTAAACATGTAAACAACCAGTAAACAGTCACCATACGCACCCTTGAAGTCAGCACCGACAGAAAGCGCTTCTTAGATTAAAAAAAAGGGATAAACTGACGCTTACGCTTTCGATTTTTACGCGGAATTTGGACTGGAGTGTCGGGAAAGTTTAGCGTGTTCTGCACTATCGCGGGGCCATAAATGGGGCTAGCGGGAAGTAGATTTGGAAAAAGCCAGGCGCGAGAGTAGGCAATAATAATACGTCTTCGGTTGTTGAAACAAATTTGTAACAGAAATCTATTCATAAACGGCGTTAATGCTAACCAGCTGTTTGGGGGAGCCTTTTGCAATTCTCAAAATTACCAGAGAAGGAAGACAGACTAGCGGGAGTTTAACCACACACAGCCCACCAGTGGTTCAAGCCAGAAACATCGAGTGTAAGAGACGGCCATAAACTCAAAATTAATGGCCGCTGCCCGGACCATGAAAACAGCGTTTTATTTCACCCCCTGGTTTGACAGCCGTCGGCTGGTAGTTCAACATAAAAATGGACTTCAAAAAAGCAAGAAACCCCCAAGTATATGAGTTCTGCTCTGTTTACGGCAGGTTAGAACTGGGCCGGTTCGGCCACACTTCGCTCGGATTTTGTTGCCTGTAATCCGGTTAACACTCACAGACGGTCGCGCGGACTTTTGTGGTGAAAGAAAATACGAAAACAGTAAGAGTGTGTTTGGAGAGATTTGGTTCAGCAACGGTCAGAACTGGCACCCACACTTCGGTGTAAGCTTCGACTGGGAGAGAGCTTGCTCGGTGAATAAATTCGTCTCCATCAGGTTCGGTAATCGAGTTTGAACGCGGAAAATCAGTAAAAATTAGCAATTAATTTATTTGGTCGTCAAGTGAACGCTGACAGTCATATATCGTTGAGGCTGTGTGTGTGTATCCTCCGTGTGTGGGCAGGTCATGATGGGTGGTCGCCAGCGGCGCGCTGATTGGCTGCCGGATTTCTGGGCGGATCTTAGCGCTCATGATGGCTACGTGTTGACGGTTTCCTTGTGGCTGAGTATATTGAGCAGGCAGTGGCCTTAGCGAGCGGATCCATGCCCATGTACGCTTTCAACTCGGTTGAGAACTCCGGCAACACGCCACCCTCTGCCAACCTGGGGCTGACCATGCAGGCCAGTTTCGCATCGGCCAACCCGGCCACGCCGAACTCGCTGGGCGTCATGCACCCGGTCTTTCAGGACCAGAGCTACTATCGCCACCCCAGCTACTCGGGGATGCCCGTGTCCGTCTATAGCCATGACCAGTATTCCAGCATCGCACGGGGGTACGGGCCGTACGGCCACCAACAGCAGAACCCCAAAGATATGGTCAAGCCACCTTACTCCTACATCGCTCTGATTGCCATGGCCATCATGAATTCACCGGAGAAGCGGTGCACGCTCAACGGAATATACTCCTTCATCATGGACAGGTTTCCGTTTTACAGGGAAAACAAACAGGGCTGGCAGAACTCGATTCGGCACAACCTGTCCCTCAACGACTGCTTCATCAAGATACCGAGGGACGACAAGAAGCCTGGAAAGGGAAGCTACTGGAGCCTGGACCCTGACAGCTACAACATGTTTGACAACGGCAGCTACTTGAGACGCAGGAAGCGATTCAAGAGAAATAAGGCCATACCGGAGAAGGAGGACAGCCGGGACAGGATCAACGACGGTCATTCTGGGGACACTACATCCCAAGAACTTGTCAACCACCAGAACGGTGTCTCTTCAGGGACCGAGGAGTCGGCTCATCCGGCCGAGTCGACGTCCCCCATGACGGCTACCTCCAAGGTACTGACCAGCAACAACACCAGCACCAACCCCCCTCTTCTGACCCCAAAAGTGGAGCCCGTGGACTCCCCCGTTCTGAGGGAATCGCCCGTGAACTCGCGGCAGTTGTCCAGCGAGGGGACCATGATGACCACCTCGCCATCGAGCTACACCGTTGACAACATCATGACCGTGCACCACGACCGGGACTCGACCAACGGCTGCAACGCCGACATGAACTCGGCCAGTCACCATTTGCCCGGGAGGCCGGTGGTGGGCCAGCTCGTGTCCCCACAGCCCCTCAGTTATAACCAGACTTACCACTCGGGACCTGGCGGGGTCTCGTGCTCCAAGAAAACGACCGGCAATGTGAACCACAGCATGAACTACCACTGTAACATGTACGAACCGGACCTGAGCATGGGCAAGCACATGGCCATTGCCCCTACACCCGAAGAGGTGCACCAGGAGCAAGGCCTGTCCCAGCGGCCCAGTCCCCAGGGCCCGAACTCCATCATGACTTCGCAGCCCAGCAGTCTCAGCCCCGTGCACCGTGGCACCACCGGCAGCAACGCGTGGTACCAGGGCCCCAGCCCGGCCGACCTGCATGGGACCAGCACGGGCTCGCACGGCCAGTCCTTCGGTATGTACGACTCGCAGCGGCTGCCCTCGCAACGGCTTATGGCGCTGAGCCATAACTCGCCCGTGACTTTGGGTCTGAACAGCGGCGACAGCTGCCAACTGGCCGCCACGTCTTACCGTTCCCCGACCGGCACGACAGCACCTGGTATGTACCATGTGGCAGGACAATACTCCTCCTATGACTGTTCAAAGTACTGATATAAACAAAGCTTAAGGAAAAAAACACAGACACGAAAAGAAAAGAAAAATGCAAAAAAACGGGTTCCTATTCTACTTGTCATTTTGTGTTGCACCGTCATGACCGTGAATCTTGAGACACGTGGTTTAGTCCGCTACTTGTTTGACCATGGTTTGACCGAATTTGTCAATATTTATACAACTACGAAGTGTTCTAATTGTCCACCACCATTACGACTGCACACAAACCGACTTGGTATGATTTCTACTGAAATCACGTCGTGTTTGATTTGGGTCAGACCGGTGGCAAATTCTCCCTTTGAAAGTGTTTTCTTTAAGGTGGTAAAAATGTAGCATATAAGCGTTCCTGCTACCGACCACACTTTGTTTTTGTTAACTTTTGGGTGAGAGCTTTGAATAATATTTCTTCAACAAACAACCCGCCTACAGTGGGTGACTTGGCCTGGTGGATGTCACCTCAACTAGTGACATCGATCTGGTGTTAAGCTCATGACAATGCTCTGGTATTGTACACCACCATTCTGGCTTGACACTGTTTAGCCGGTATTTCGCCAGCTTGTTTATCGAATTTTAAATAGTCCACCATGATAATGTTTGTATTTGAGTATAATGCTTAGACAGATTTTAAACATTTGATGGTGGTCGTGTCACAGGTTGAGGACACTTTCCCCGTATAATGATGAATTGCTGTCGAGAACTTTGTAATTAGATGCACAGAGGATAAAGCTGGAAATTTGTTGGTGAGACATTTTGTATTGTGTAAACACAGTTTTGAACCACATTTTCAGAACATGACTGTTTTTGGTTGGTTGTTTGGATTAAAAATAGTCCACCAAATGTCTAATTATCAGAATGGTACTTTACACAATTTGAGAATATGCCTCCCCAGGGTGTACCACTTATGCTGTCATTTTTATTTCAGCCTGACTATAGATTTTAATTTCCCTTTTCCATTGTCATTGACCGGAAACATTGAAGCGACGGGGCGTGTTAGTACTAGTAGTATACTGGGGGTTTTCTCCTTTTTATTCAATTATGGGTGAATTACATTAAAAATGGTTCTGGTCCTGGCCACTTGTGGGAACAAAAGTGAAGGATTTCAGCACAGAGAGCGATGGGATACGGTACATCAGCACAGAGGGGAGACTAGTTATAGACCCAGTCACTGGGGCACGCACGCAAGCAGCGCAGTCATTTTGTGCAATGTACCGCCCGGTTCTTAGGCCCGATCAGCCACGCTTGATATCATATGCTTTGCCAGACCCGGGCGTCGACGCTAAGCTTTGGCCGGCTCCACAGCGAGAAGCCGACCCGACTCTATTCAATTTACAACCCCGTGAGTCCTGTCTCCCGCGACCGCTGGACTGTCTCGCAGTGTCGAGCGGGAACTGGCTTAATGGAGTTTGAAGAAGAAAAAAAAAATTATACACATTGGTCGAGAATAGATTCCTTCAAGAAGCCCTTCTATTTACATGAGTTTAACATGTTTCAAAGCCCGAGAGATATAAATATTAATATATGTGTACAATGATGTGTATACATATGTATATAAACATATGTATATAAACATTCATATAAATATCTAAATATTTATACATGACAAAGGTAAAATGGCCAAATCTTTTAACCATTTTTAAAATTTAGATTTGTCTCGGATCTGTATGCACTGAGTGTATCCTTGGAGGAAGGACCGTTTTCGTATCTTTGCATTTTTACACAACAGATGGTTAAAACTTGTCAGAAATGTTCTGTTCTCGAGTACGTATGATTGCAAGGAGGCAGCGTCATTTTTATTGAGGTAATTACTACATGCCAAAATAGCCAGGCCAAGCGTTTGTAATTTCCTTATCGTTCACGTGTAGAGTCTATTTGCTTGTGGAAAAGAAAAACCACAGTCACAACCTGGGAAAACAGAAGTCCCTTGGTAGCTTTGAAAGAAGGAAAGAAAGAAGCGTTGCAAATAATCAAGAGAAGAAAAATAACTTATTACTCGGACTGAGAGAAATTGCATGTGAATTATTGTCCCTTCTGTGAACTCCTATAACACCGCTTCAATTTTTGCACAATCGGTGGCACTGGCCGGCATAATCAGCTTGTGGTTAGCCAATTTGGACATTTCACTTTTGAAAAGCGCTTTCAATGCTTCCCATCAGCGTCAAAGTGAAAGCAGCATCTCCAGGCTTTCACATGGGGAAGGAAGTTACCATAAATAATTATTGTTGGTGTCAAATGACGTATTAAAACCCTAACAATACCCCAAGTCTAATCGGGACAAAAAGAGAGCTGTCCATAACTGGAAACAAACAAGAAAAACCCCTCTCACCCCAAGTCATTATTCTGGCTTTCACCATTTCACATTTCTAGTGGACGCTCCATTGTCGTCCAAAAGGCTGGTCTACATTTTGGAATCTTTGACTTATTAAAAGATCGGATGTTATTTACTGCTTGTAACCAAGTAAGACAATTTAATCATCGCGTTGTGGCGTTAGATGTAACCATCGAGGTTGTCGTTCATGCGATACATCGAGTATGAAGTGTCCTATGATGGCCAACGGTCAGGCTTTCTAGCGGATCACAATGAAATGAATTATTGTGGCGCGTTTTTCGAACCACAGAAGAGGCAAAACTCCGGCTTATATGCATTCCCAAGCTGGATTTCAGTTGGTGTTAATGCTCCCAAACGAAGCAAATTCGGCGGGAAATTATTCTTACATTTCAACCACTAGCCTCTTTTTTGCGCCATTTCAGCCGGCTGTTCGGACATGGGGAATTATGCATTGCAGCGCTAGTTTTGCTGGTCGATCTGACACAGATTACAAACACAAGAAGGGAAAGAAAAAAATAGGGGGAGAAAAAAATCGATCATTATCCATGAACGGGTCTCACGCTTAATTAGAACGGAGCTGTCACGTGAGTGATTCAGATTATATTTCCCAAGCAACTGTGTTGAACTGAATAGGTAGGGGAAAACTGTTGTATAGCGGATAATACTTTATTGGTCCTTGGTCTATAATTTCGTTGTTATTTTCCTGAGAGGAATTGTAAAATTAACATGGACATTATTGTTTATCATTTGGAACTAAATATGGAAATTGTCGAACGTAACCGTCAACAGGATACTGAAAAGTTTAATGTCCACGTCATGGATTCATTCGTGTGTAGAAAAGAAAGAATGTGCCATGTGGGCGAAAAACGACTTTTGACGAACCAATCAATTCAAATCCTGGACCAATTTGGGGAAAGTATGAACTGAATTGTCATTGGCTCATCTCTCTTTACGCAACTCCTTCATTTGGCACGTCAACTCAGTAAGTGTATACCACAGTGTGTTTTTACTCAAAGCATAACTCTCGGTATTTGTAATTATGCCATTGTGGTCATTGTATTTTCGGAATGCTTCTTCGAGCAACTCACTTGGATATTTTTTTCATTTTTTTGTGTTTCTAATTTATAAGATTTTTATAAGATGTTTGTCGCAAAAGCTTCACACTCGATCACTTTTCTAATTAAGTTAGGCCTACTGTGATTAGATTCATTGCAGGGTTTGTAGCGGGACTTGTACATTGGAAATAATTATTACTAAACACTTTGTCTTTCTTTTTAAGAATGGTTTTAATGTGGTTTTAATTGTTTTGAGCAATACACTCCTGCGAAGCGGCGAACTGGCATGTCTTTGTAGACTTCGCTGTCATGCATAATGGTGTTGACAACCTTTTTCTTTTGTGATTTTGTATTTCTTTTGGGGCTGTTTCCAAAAGGGCGCATTCGCGTCAGACAGTAGAGGTTTACCTTAAGTTTGTACATTGTGTTCATATTTTGAATGGAAAAGAAAAAGAAACTAAAATACTCGGTTGTAATAATATTTCTCTGAAGTATTTCTGACAGGAAGAAAGAAATCGTGGGTAAGAGCCACAGCTTTCCCTCTTAACGTCTTTTCTTTCTTTCTTTTTTTGAAAAACAAGTCTAATAAAATACGAATAATTTTACGCTGGGATGAACAATTGAGTTTGCAGTGTGTCGGTCTGTTCGCTTGCTGTGGGCTTGATTCGGCCTTGGTGACAGTAACGTCCAGGAAAAAAACCCCGGTAGAACGCGACGCGATTGAATTGGGGAATATTTTCCAGGCCAATTTTGGTGGCTGGTTATTGGCCGTGCATTCGCATCTTTTCCACGCAACTAGTGCAGTCGTTTCTTCGCTACGCTGCCTCCTTGACAGACGTAGACTGAAATTAAGCCTGTTTGTAGCCGGGACCGAACCAAGCTTCTTAACCCGTAGCGCCTTCTCTTTCCCCTCCGTTTCTCGCTCGGTTTTTTCCCCTCTCTTCCTTTGCCCTAACCCAAGTTCATCTCGAAATTACATACTCGTTACAGTCTGAAGGTTAACGGGCCCATATTGCGTGTGAGGGCCCATATGCTATGCATTGACATGCCAGGTTTAACTCGAGCTGCCGACTCAGTTATTACCCTCCATGTTCTGCTACTCTGTCTTGCCCCTTTTATTTCCTTCTCGCCGAGCGCACGCAACCGTTCCCTTTTGGATTGAGCAGCAAGCGTCGAAAATGGCAGGCGGTGAGAGATGGCCATCCTACGGGGTGTTGGTTCATGTCGGCGCCCCATCATTACACCTACCTCTCCCGTGTCAGACTCCTCTAATCAGACATGACGATTGGCAATTGAGTTTCAACCCCTCCGATTCGATACGCTACGCGCACGTCCACACACCAGACACATGTAAGGTAAAACAAAGGAAAACCAGATGTAACACATCAAGACACGAAAAGCCTGCGAAAAAAAGTGGGGAATCGATAAAGCGACGTTAGCCGGGTTCCGATTATGCTCCACGGTTGGCTTGGCCCATCAAGAAAAAAACAGGCAGAAGCGACAAGCTGTGCGGGAAAATGACGAAGGTAATAAAAAACAAGACAAGCTATAAGTCGAGTGAGAATACGTCTAAATAATAAGGCAAAGTTTCGATCATTCTGCAGTAGGCTCTTCTACTCGCCATATATGGTAACCCCAATGTCAGGGCCATTTTCTTGAAAATAATTACATATGGCTGTAAGTACGAGCCGTCTGTCCTTCTGGGAAGCAATATGCACGACACATGTAAAGTATTTTTGTGTCTGACGAAAGCGTGGGTCTGTTCTGAACATGCCAGCCTGCCTCATGGCGATATTTTAATTGTGTGTTTCGTGCACTGACGTCGAAATGGGAAGCAACATTGTAAATAACGTCACTAGTGGAAAAAAAAGAGGGGGGGCTGGTGGTATTCATGGCAAACGTCGAAACCAGCAAGAAAACATACCAGAAAATCGAAACGCATTTCCTTTCCTATTAAAAACGGGCATAAATGAAATCTTGCAGGAGGCCTTGATTGGCAGGCCAGAACAGAGAGGCGAAGGGAAGAAACGAGATTATTGGCCAATTTCCGCTCGCGTTGAAGGTCTAGAGCAGGCCGCTACGAACGCTGAAAAGACAGCGCGGACGTGGAGTCTGCACGTATGGCAACCCCCCCCCCACACACACACCGTTAATAAAGGCATAACGATAATTCAGGCTCATTCTAATAATTATCCTCATTATCGAATATACAATGTTGAGCGACTGTTTTTCGAAACATCTGTGGCTAGCTCAACCCCAAACTCGTAACCTAGGTTTGTGTGTCCCTCGCACGTGCTTTCGCTTCAAATCAGTCGCGGAGAAAAAGGACAGTTAGGCTGTCTCGGCCCCTGGCACCGATGAATAAAGAATAGTTATTTTAACCAATTTCAAGGGTTGCAAATGTTGGCGAACGTGTCTGGTGGACATCCCTGGTCCCCCCAATTTCACCAGCTCTGCCGTCGCCAAGCCAACGGTGGGCTGCAGCGCCAGCATCCCTGCCCGGTGCTCGGCCTGCACGCTGCGGCTAGATTGCTCACGACACAAGACGGGATGAAGGAGAAGATTAGAAACTAATTCTCCCGTGGGAGAGGCAGCCTAACTCAATCTCGCCCAGATCTGCGTCTTAACTCATTGGTGCCGTCTGGTGAAGATGAAAGGCCGGGATGCAGAGGAGGAGGAGGGGAAGAGGAGGGGACGAAGCTGAAGATGACACAGCGATGCGCAGAATTCGTGGGGAGGGGGCTATAGATAGGGCAGATTGATTCAACAAATCCCACGTCGTTGGCACATTCATGTTATTTGAAGTTGAAATCTGAATACAGTTGTGCACTAACCATGCAACTGAAAGTTGCGGGACCTCGTTATGAGTGTTAAAAACACAAAACGTGATTTTTGGAAGGATTTATCCCCTCTGTAGAGTGTACATTTATAAGAAGTCAGGGTGGACATTTATTCCATTTCTTTACCCAGGGTATGCCCAAACAGTTAAGAACTGGTTTTCAATGGTAAACTCACATCACAAGATTATTACTTTTACTAATTACAGTCTTCCACTGAAAGTAGATCTGGACATTTTGCAAAGGTATGTTGATATTTGATGAAGCACTTTAAAGGGGATTGCCTTTCGAAATTTGTGATCAGTTTCATTATTTCCCAGACATTTTCGTGTACATGTATACACGATCATCAGTGTTAACCAAGTTTAACCGCAAGTTTTAAGTAAATTTTCACCTGTGCCTGATTTAGAGACATGCGACTTGAGAATATTATGCAGATCTAAAAATTATCTAAACGAGCACGATGAGACCTTTTGAGGCAAACTTCGGAGCAAAACTGTGTTACGGAAGGTAGTATCTTGTTATAACATGGTTTCTTCCGCGTTTCTTCATAGATATGCGGCACACATTTGCAAATCTTCAGGCTTTCAAAATTTGCATCTGATTCAACTCAAGTGGATTCTAGACTCTGCAGCCGGCTTTCTACTTTTTTCGAACAATGACATCGAAACATTCCCCACCCCCCAAACAAAACGGATAGTTCATGGCCTCACAGTTACAGATGTATAAGCAAAACTCTTCATTCAGGGCCTTCATCCTGTGGTAAACGAACTTGAGTTGTTTGCATTTTTTCCAACTGTTCTGTTGTTGTTTACAGAATATGTGCAATTTCAGTGGAACACGCCTCCACAGATACAAAGTGTCCGTGTCTTGATAAGGGACACCCTCCGGTTTCATTACCTTCGCTCTAGGTGTACAAAATAATTTGGGAAGAGTGCATTAGGCTGATTTCAGTTTTGGTTAATCCATGCTCTTGTCAGAAAAGATACAATATTGATAAAAGAAATTGATGATCTTCACACAAATTGGAAAGGATGAAAGAATTCTTTTCTCTTATTTCTCCCGCCACTCGGTTCACGTGGTTGTAGAGCATTATTTGGCTGCCAATATAAATCGGATATTTTTTCTTTTGAGCAGAAGATAGAACCATGTTTTTTTTTCAGAAGTGGGGCTTTCGATTCTTGTCATGACTTGCACAACCAAGACACGTGCGTAGCTGTATATCAGATTGATCCTCAAACTTGCCACAATTAATGGCCTGGAAAAACAGGTCCACCCATAATTGAGTAATTGAACTGTATTCCAATTCATGTTCTTAGATTGGGGCAGAATTTGACCTTATTTTGAATCGGCGATTAGTAAGGGGAGAAATTGAATAGCTGCATGAAAGAAGGGGACATCGGTATATCACTATGGCTGCTCACTTTTTGCCGTGGTTCGAGTGCTTTGATAGTAAGACCGAACTTTTCTGCAATGTTTTTCTGTTGGTCTGTACTTTTGTTACCGGTGCGCAAGCCAATTTGAATTCCACACAGCCTGTTTATAACAGTTACGGTTATGTAGTCCAGTGGACCATAGCGGTAAATCCCTCTCTTAAATCTCTTTTTTTATCACCAGATAATGAGAACAAATTAGCTTTGTGAGTTGTCGCTTCTCCCTCCATTTAGCCGGGCCGGTCTTACAAGTTGCTCCGACAGTCTCGCTATTGTGGGCGCCCGCCGTGCTCATGTTGATTGCTTGTTTGGTCGGAGCCGGCTTGAAAGGAGCTCCATGTTCCGGGCTTTTTTTTTTATTCAGAAAATGGGACTGTTGGAACTTGAGTTTTGCAGGGAGTGACATGTCGAGGTCGCTCCGTGGGCCCGCGTGTACGTCACCCGGTGATGGGGTTGTTGCGAGTGGGCACCCCGGTCTAAGTAACACAATACACCGGCCTGGCCCACTGCAACAACAACAACATGATAGGTTTTCCCTTCTTTTGTGCGGCCTGTTAATACCAAGCCGAGAAATAAACCGTCTTAGCCCGACCCGGAAGTTTTTGCTGCACAGGCCTAATCGTAACAACATTCCAATCTGCCACCCCCCTCCTCTGCTATGTAAGGAGAAGGTTTGGGTTATCCTCAGTTCATGCATGTGGTGTGTGTTTTTGTTTCAATTTGTGCCGCAATATAACAAGATGTGCGTGAATAGCCGGCTATTTTGAAAGAAAATATTTAACGTAGTGATTTATACGACTTCGTTGTGGGGCACGGGGACGGACGCGGGCCGCCCTGTTTTTCCCCCTGTGTGCACAGGCAGGGGACCCTGGCAGGCCGCGCTGCGCGGGCCCGCTCCATATAATAACTAAAACAACAAACACACAAATAAACAGGCTGTCAAAGAATGGTATTAAGCTCCCATTCAAAAAGGTCCCCAAATCATTTCGGAGCAGGTTGGCCGGGGTTGTGGGAGTTGTAGATCCTGTTTGCCGGCCGGCTGTTGGTGTTCGGCGTTCACTACGTGAGGCGATTGCTGGGCCTGGGATGGGGGATCCGGCAGGGAATGCAATTCAGATGGCATGTCCGAGGATACTGCGATAGTGCCTTAGCCCGGCGCTGGCTGTACCTCGAAGACTGGTAGTCTAGAGCGCTCAGCGTACGAGTGATAAAAAAGTAAGTGAACATCTCTCAAATTACCTCATAATTTTGCACAATGTCATTACTAATCTACAGGGAAGCTCGACAGGTGAATCTTAATTGAGTTTTACGTCCTTTTCCGCCTAGCTTTAAAGATTTAATCTGGTGTTT